GCCGTATGAACATTAAAGAGTTTCCAAATTTCCCTCGATAAAATGTTCATTTTTGAGGAAAGTTATGAATATTTTTCTTTGAAATTTTCAGGAACTTTAGGTAAAATAGCGAACAAAATTATTTTAAAAATTGGAGAGGAAATATTCATAAGTTTACCAAGAAATTCGTGTTTTATCAAAGGACATTTGGTACCGCCTGGAGGTTCTTACGGCTTTTTTCCTTAGCACGGTAGTATAGTGGAAGAATTAACGCATTGGTCGGGTCTGTGCAGTGATGAATGCCACAAAACTGCTGCGTGCAACTATGGAAGCTCCAAAACCGCTTCATGATTTCATCAAATTCTTTGAAGACTAACCCGACAGAATGAGAGATCTACCTATTCGTAAAGGGAAATATGACTTCTATTTCTATAGAAACAATGAATGTGCCATAGATTTCCCTATGCAAATAAGTGCGTGTACGGATGAACCACAAATTGTAATTCCTTTATTAAGTAATGCAGTCTAATTCATTTACCGTGTTTTTTTCTTGGTACGATCTTACAGCAACACCTGGATATTTTATTTTAACTTTTGTATTATTTGCCTCTCGACTCATACTTGTTTAGATTATGTCCCTCGAACAAAGCTTTCAGGGCGTCTACGCTACCCTCTGCCTTCTGAAGACTAGGCGATGGAAGTCTAAATTCGACAGTTTCAAGGTTTGTTCCTCGATGTGCTCAGACAATTTTAACTCATCGGGAAGGAAGAAGCTTGGAACACTTGTAACATCGATGACCTACGAATGGTCGGAAAGTTAAGTGAAAGTGAATTGGATGCATAAACTTGACGGTTCTCGATAAATCACCCTGGCGATGTGAAATTTTCGCCGTCATAAAAACAATCTGTCACATAAATTTGGTCGCAAAAATTTGCACATCATTCCCAGAGATTCAACACGGCCGTAAGAGAGGTCGAAAGCTGATTCACAGTGATATTTCGTGCTTCGATCCCATGCGCTAGTAATGGAACCTCACTAACTTACAAGATCAACCGCCGCACGCCGCACTATGGTCCCAATAGCCCGATTCAAGCGGCATCAAATCAGATGTTTTTTAAACCTTGAAACATGAGTTTTTAGGGGGGTTTTTTGGGTCGCTGAGTGCGAATGTGCAAATATTTTTCAGAAAAAAAATACATTTTTAACATTTTTATACTTTTATATAACTGTGGTAATATTTTGTACAGAAACCTTAAATTGAGGTACATACACCAAGTCAACGTGGAGTCAAAATTTTGACTCTAATTTTAATTTTTGGAATTCCTTGGCTTTGTTTCCCCGCGAAATGGTGTGGACCCAGCACCTTTTCTCCACCTTGTTTAAAAAACAAGTACATTTTCAAAACGTGGTAAATATTTGTAAAACCTTTTCTAAGCCATGGCATCGATATTAATCTCAATGAGCCGTAGTTGTGTTGAATGAAACTATACAATAATGAATAGAAGAGGGAAAAAACCAAGAAGCACATAATCTTTGGATTTAACCCGTTTCTACATCGATCTTTTAGAGTCAAACGTCCAATTATGAACGTTTGCGGTTGCGCGTACACCACGCTGCAGCACAGTAAAAGCACAAAATACAAAAGAAAAAATTGAAGTGCTTTGGACATCATTAAATTTGACACGGAACCACCTTCATTTTCACGAAACAAACATTAGATTCTCCTTTAATACATATCCTTTTCCCCCATCAATTTGAATGAGAATAATGCAGAGTGTGCAAACATTTCAAAATCATGAGTTGAAAAACGCTGACTTCGCGAGTTTAAATGTTAGAGCCTAACACAGCGGAGCGGCGCGTGGTGTCAGTGCAACTTGCGCACTAGCGCCTACAAACCTAACAGAGATACTTCACGCATTGCGCAATGCGTGAAGTATCCCTGTTAGGTTTGAAGGGGCCATTGCGCTAGTCGCGTTGATTGCCCTCGCCAGCCGCGGAGCGCCGCGTAAATTTTTCGCATCTTTTTCATTCCTTCAATTTTCTGAATTATGCTGTGCTTGTCACACACTTGCGTTTTAATGGTATAGTTTTAAGGAATTCTTAAAACAATTTGCGAAGTATAATAAAAGTTAAAAAAAAAATAAGAAGAGAGTTAAAAATTTGAAACATTTTTTCATTCTAATACCGTTACCCCCTGATCAAAGGTGAAATTGCAAAATTTAAGTGTTTGATTGCTCAACTTTATCAAAAATTGAGTCCTTCAATGACACAAATACTCACAAAAGTTATCAGAATCCATAAGAATGTTCTTTAGTGCTGATTGATGAATTACGATGGAAGAGGTTTGGTTTTACCATCTATCGTAGTTTATGACGGCATTCAACATGTTTTTAAAGAGTAAAAGTTAGAGTAAAAGAGTTTCCTCCCGAAGATTGATCAATTCCTCGATTGGCTGACAAAAGGGCGTAACTACAATTTGAGATGAACCCGGGAAAGCATTGAGTTATATCCGACAGGGCTCATCACAAAGTGTAGTTACGCTCTTATGTCATCCAAGCGACGAATTATGCATTAAATCTTATGGATAAATAAAGCTTCAAATTTTCCAATAACCTCAATTTCAACTTAAAATGGGTCGAACCGTCGGAGGCACAAAAAATACCCCATTAAGGAGGTGGTGGATCAATCTTATTTATCAATTAATCTCCTAATTAAGGAGATTTGTACATCGTAGCGACTTTCATGATAACGTTTAGCGCTCGATATGAATCACGCAGAGCATTGAGTTTTCATGAGCGGGTGGTTTGAATTCACGCATCAAGAATCATTGAATATCTTCGTAAGAGGTTAATTTCGGTAATTTTTGTTGTGTGCATCGTGTTTTACATGAAATTTTGTTTAAGAAACATGTATCAGAATGCTGAAATTCGTACCTTATCTAGTGGTCCACTACAATTTCAAATATGAAAGTTATGCTGCGCACTTACTCAGAAAAATCTCCCAAATTTCTCAGAAGGGGCTGGATAGAATTTTAGGAGGGGGGCAGGACCCCGGCCTCCCTATTTCGGCCCATAACTGAAAGTTACGTGCGTGAGTTTTTTTACTCTCTTCGTGCACATAGTATAGATCCATCGTTCAACTCGGTCCGATTTCAGTTGATGTTGCCCAATGTTAACGCAATCGAACAAAGCGTTTGGGTTCCTGATTAAAATCAACCTCAAAAATGTTTCATTCGAGGCTGCAAGTTCTCGCGCGGATCGAGCGATTAACATCGGCAATGCACCATTTCCGACGACGATTATGCTAAACGGACGATACAGAGGGTCAAAATGAAAAAAAAACCTGGCTTCAGCTCAAGAAATGGTCGACGGTTGGCGTACTTGACTTTGACTCTAGAGGTTGCGGGTTCGATAACTTGTGAAGCATCTTTTCGAGGCACGAGCGCGAGCCGCTGGCATAGCGCGCGTGCCAGTGACTCCCGCATACCGACCGTCGCGTCGCTCCCAACCATCTAATACCGAAGCGCCGTGGACTGAGGAGCTTGCAGAATACCCAGATATTTATTTTAATCATCCAAATAAAAAAGATGAATCCATCATAGAATAAAACCGGGTTCTGATGGAACCTTCTCATTACGAAAAACTGTTCTGAACGAAAATTTCCTCTGTGGATTTGCCACTTAGAGTACATAGAGTCGTAATGTAAATGGGAGAGCTGGCGCCATGTTCTGCTCGACGAATTCCGAGCTCGGTGTGCGCCGAGTTCGGGTCGCTTTTTCGATACATTTTCGATCCAAAATGGCGGTGTGGAATACGTGGTAATTCCTAACTCCTTTGTTGTTGTTGTCATCGGATGGCCGGGTACCCGTGTATCGCAAACAATCGATAATGTATCAAAAAAGTGACCCGGCGTCACACAGGAGTCTCGGAATTCGGGACATGGAAAATGCTTAAAAGTGGCGCCAGCTCTCTCAATTACATTACGACTCTATGTACTCTATGATTTGCCATGATAATGTATGTAAATGGACCTGATAACAAAAACTAGAGTCCCTTTATACTGAGAGTAAAGACAATGCGAATCCATTTCTGATTGGTTCCCGTATTTTAGGCCTACACAGAGTCACAAACGTGAATAAAGATTGCACTCTTAACAATCGCAAAGTTGATAAACTGGAGTGGATCGGGGAATTAGGGGTACGACAAGGAACAAATGGAATGAGAGAGGGAACGGAGACAGGAATTCGGGAAGGGGTCAAAGATTACAAGAATTTTCCGATTTGTGTAATCTTTATTCCCGTTTTTGACATCCATAAGCCGCGTTGTCGCAACCTGCTGATAACAACAAAATGCATCCATCCCACGAGTATATCTTATGGTCACTGGTCAAGTGTCAGTGTCACTCTGCCGTGATTGCGAAAAGAGCAGTAAGTGTCAAATTTTCGAAATCGAGTCTCCTTCAAAATTCCTCCGAGCTATTTTAGATGAAATATTTGAAATAGCTACAACAGCAAAATCCATTCTACATATATGAAACCGAGATTTAAGAGAAAGCCGTAAGTGCCCAAAAAATGACGCAGTTTCAGGAAAAACAGTAGTAAGTGACATTATTCCTCCAGAGAGCCAATGGAAACAGTGCTCTTAAATACATCTTCTGCCAATGTCTAATATGAAAATGTGTTTGTTGCGTGCCCAAAACACAAAGACGAAAGTATGTAGAGGATAACACTTATGGCTGTCTTGCCTAACGTTAGCCTAACATGAAAATGAACGATGCGATGCCCTTTTTATGTAATAGAAATAAAATCAGTCGATTTGCAATCATCCAAACGATTTCTAAGAATCTTGCGGATGGTTAGTGGCAATTTGACAAAGAGCGTAAGATTCTCACGATAAAATTTTCCACTCCGACTCTTCTGAGCCCGTTTTCTGAAAACTTCATTTTTTTGGACTTACTGCTCTCTTCGCGATCACGGCAGTGACGATGACATCAGCCGCAAATCGTATTTTTTCAGCTTACATATAGCGAACCCACCTGAAAAAACTGGCATTGATCTGTGTGCGCAATATCACTTCACGGAAATACGCATTCAATTCCATTCACTTTATAAATATGTACTAACGATAAGTATACATATGTCACAGTATATGTGGGTACATGTGTGAGTGCATGCGCGATCGTCATTCTGATGAGCTTTGAAGTTTTAGGTTTGGGAGCTAGTGGTGGCTGACATTGTCCCTCTGGAAAGCCACCATGGCTCTCAGTCATTGTGGTGAAATTTGGTGCCGAAAATTTATTATGTTGCGCGTTTTGAAGAGAGCACTCTCATTTTATGCGGTGGCTCTCATATTTACAGCATATTTTGCCGCAGGTATGACTTGCTTTTATATTATATTTCAATGTGATTGTCTTACATGTTGATGGCTGGAGGCGATTCAATTTGAATTTTACTCTTTAGAGAAGGTCGCACGATTATTGCTTTGAAAGTCGTCGAGAGTAAAGCTTTCGATGAGTTTAAATCGTTTTTTCATCTATCTGTTTGCTACTATTGGTACATTTTTCAAAACTGCAAATAGATAAATAGATTGGAAATAATGGGTTGGAGCAGTTACATGAGTTCTGAAAATAATCACATAATGCGAAATGAAATTCATAATTAATTTACTGTCCCTCGATCGACCTAAATGCGTTTAATTGACACCGTCCCATAACAGGTCTGTTAACTTTGGTCCTTCGTGCTTTGCATTAGCATTCACTGGTTTAATACTTACATTGAAGCAGGACGAAACATATCGAGGGCAGTGGCGTGGCATGCTTCGCGATATATCGATTGTTATGCCATTTAAACTTATGGCAAAGGATCGATAAACAGGGTGTTCGCAGCGAAGACCTTAATAATCTATTCTTTACCATGGGTTTAAATGGCATAACAATCGATATATTGAAAAGCACGCCACGCCACTGTGCGGAACCACGTATCTCCGTTTGCGACGGTGCAAACTTCCTATGATACTTCATTTTTTCTTCGAAAATCTAGCCAATATAATTTTTTGAAAATTTACTCAATTTTTCCTGTCTGCTGGTAGAATATTCTGTATAAATTTCAAGCTAAAAAGTTGGCTTGTTTATCTTCGGAAAAATAAAATGGGAGTGGAATCTTTCAACACCGCAATACAATATTTTGTAAGTGATAATTAGGTGCAGTATGCGGCTCAACAACTTTTCAAACATTATTTTACACTTTGCTCATGAATGCTCAATTGAGCAAATTAAGAAAATTCAAGAAAATTTCCGAGGTGACACCACTGAGGTGTTAGGATCAAAGAATGGGATTTGTAATGGTGAAAAATAGTTGGGGGAAAAAAGCACAAATCCATTTTTTTTTATAGGAAACCCGTATCAATATATTAACTTTGACCTTTCAAATTTCAGGTCTAATTACACTCGTAAAACCGTAATTAAAAATTCAGCTAAAAAAAATCCACTATGCCGAAAAAATCAATGTTTTTTGTTCAATGACTTTATGGCCTTTTAGTCGCGCGTGTTTTAACTTTAAATACACAAGATTGCAAGAGAGGCTCAGAAAATATAGGGGTTCAAGAGTTTCGAATTCAGTTTTCAGTAATCCATACAACACGTAAGTAAATGAAGAAGACATACTGGTCCTATTAATATTGATAATTCATTCGTCACGATAGTTGTAACGTGATTTTGACCTAGTTAAGGGCAGTTCATTAATGTATGAGTTTTACTATTTGTGTGCTAGGAAGTCTCTCATATAGCCTGTTTAAGACGAAGCTTAAGGGATTTTAACGGTTTAATTGTTCATAAAATTTGTTTAGCTGATGGTGTCATAAGCTATATGTTTTTAAACTTATCTTCTACAAATTAAGACAGTATTTGAGGAGTACCACGCTATAGCATGAAAGATTTCACCAGTGAATTCTTGCGAAGATATATATATGTTGTATTCAATACAATTCCAGGGTTGGCATGACCATAGATGACCACGCAGGGCTAAAAATTTTGTTCGTCACGCTTGAAAATCCCCACCATTGTTCTATGAGCGGGAAAGTTTGAATTTTCCTCACCGAATAAGGTTTCAGGACATTTTGTCAACGATTTTTTGTCCGCGCACCTTTTTTGTCCAGTAGTTTAAACCCACACGTAAAATAAGCAACAGTGACTTGGTCCAAGCGTTATATTTTAGTCGGTTTGTAAAATTATACTGACAATATGGAAATGAGAAATTGAGAGAGAAGGAGGTGTTGTTATGGTTGCTCATTTTCTAAATGAAATGTTTTTACTTTCTCCTTTTGAATCATCTTTTTAAATTGTCAATGGTGAATATTTCGTTTTATTCCTATCCTTAAAATATTCGATGTACAATATACCTCATATATGTATAGGTACTTACTATCATTTTTTACATTTTTTTTTTACGAAATTTTTACTTCATTTTGAAAACATTTACATTTTTAAAATGTGACAAGTATTTGGAAAACCTTTTCCAAGCGACATTAATCTCAATGAGCCGCAGTTGTGCCGACAGAAACTGCAAAAATGAATAAATGAGGAAGAAAAAAATCAAGAAGCGCGCAATCTTTAGTTTTAACCCATTTGTACATCGATCTTTTAGAGTCAAATACGTCAAATTTTAAGCGTTTGGTTGCGCGTACATCTCGCTGCAGCAAAATAAAAGCACAAAATGTAAAAGAAAAAATTAAAGTGCTTTGTAAATCATTGAATTTGACACGGAGCCACCAATATTTAAAAAAACACACATTATATTATTATTATCCTTTGATAAATTGGTACATATTTTTTTGCCATCAATTTACATGAGAATAATCAATGCAGAATGTGCAAACATTTCAAAATCATAAATTAAAAAACGCTGACTATGCGAGTATACATATTACAGCCTAACGGAGCGGAGCGGCGTGCTGCCAGCGCGAGAGGCTCACTGGCGCCTACAAACCTAAGTGGATACTTCACGCATTGCACAATGCTTGAAGTATCCACTTAGGTTTGCAGGCGCCAATGCGCGTTTCGCGCTGGCAGCCCGTCCGTCGTGCGGTGGCGCCTGAAGCAACTATTTCACAACAGAGGTGTTGCACAGTATCATACGAAATTGAACGTATTTTGAATGACAGGCATCCTTTAAAAGTACAGATCTTTCCTGGCAAAATAAATCAAGATACTTATCGTACACAAGAAAAGTCAAAGAGCCTTTTGCTGAGGCAAATATAGAGGTTCATCCGGTTCAGGTATAACAAGGTGGGAATTTCTTGAAAGATAATTAACTCCTGGCACACCAAAAAGGTGTAGAGAGTTTTAGTGAATTTTGTCTCATGGAATTGACGCTCCCCCATTTTTACCAAAACTCTCAACTATATATTATTCTCCGTTGAGCCAAACAGACAAAACAAAAAAACAAGCGAACCCTCATTCTTCCAAGACATTTTCATTCAAAAACGTCGTTTGTATTTACATGTGGGCCAATTAACTTTGGGTCTTAACTGGCACGTGGGCCAAAACTCCCGTGCCGAAAAAACGCGTGAACGTAAATTTCTGGAAAAAACAGGTGCGCGGACAAAAAATCGTTGACGGAATGTCCTAGAACCTCCAATAAAGTTAATATCTTAGTTGGGGGTTTCTTTTACACAAGCAGTAATGATCGCAGTAAGTTGCGATTTGAATGGAAAATGTATCGCGATTTATTGTAACATAATCTGATAAAAATTTGCGGAAAAGTGCGATTGCATCTCCCATATACATAAATTATACCTCAACAGTGGAAAACAAAGGGTATGTGAAAGCAGCCCGAAACTAGACGATAAACGAAAACACAGGAAAAAGCGGAAACAAGGCTAAAAATACACAATAAAAGGCAGGACGTTTCGGTACCTTACGGCACCATTATCAACTGCAACAAGAATTAAAAATAAAAAGAAATTAAAATAAAAACCAGCAAACGGCGTTACATGGTGAAATTGGTAAATGAGACTGCCAACNATTGTGTATTTTTAGCCTTGTTTCCGCTTTTTCCTGTGTTTTCGTTTATACCTCGACTATAGAAATTTCAACCCACAAATTTTCAATAAAATCGCGAGTTCGTCGGCGGCGATTGATAGCAGTGTTATCCGACGAAAAAAATCGTGATAAATTGAGATAAAGTTTCTATTTTATCGAACGCGATTTTACAGCGATAAAATTGCGACAAGATTGAGGATATCCCTCAGATGTTGATGATCCCAGCGATTTTATCGCCTGCAAAAAGTCGTAAAAAAATAGCAATTTAATCTCCTAGAGCCTTGACCTTCCCAATAAAAGATAATACCTACTTGGACAGTAATTTTCGTTGTACGAAACGTAGTTTATTAGAAATTTTGATGAGAAAACGCATTTCAAAATGCTTAAATTTGTAGTTTGTCTAGTAAACTGGTATGTTAACGTTCCTTTGTTTCAACAGGTATGCATGCAGGAAACCAGCAACTGAACCAACAACCAAACCAGCAACCAAACCAACAACTGAACCAGCAACCTAATGTCCCTCAACTGAACGCTGCTGGGCAACAGGCACCACCACCCCCGGCCGCCAATCAAGTTGCAATCTGTAAATTCAATTGCATGGTAACGCATGACTACCACGTATTCTACGAAAATGCTTGGCGCCCAGTTGCGAGTGGGTACCTCGCATGGGTAAATGGCCAGCCGATTTGCAAATGTATTCTGTCTTCGTACTTTTTGGACTTCTGTGGACAACAAGACATCAACCCCAGGTGCGGCGAATATTGGGTCGGGTGGCCTACATGTTTTAAAGCATGGGTGTGGTCAGCCACGAAAAACTGTAGGCAACTCGTTAAGACCAGAGGGGAATTGGATCATCTGGTGACGAAGTCACTGTTGCCTGTACCTGGAACCAGACAAACTTTGGCTGAGAATTAATGAAGTTTCATCACGCAATATTGAAAAGCCAATCATATTATAATTTGGCTAGATTTGCTATAAAAACCTTTTATATGTGATTAAGAATAACTCAAAAGCTGGGCGTCTTTGGCTTTTCTTTGAATGTAAGCGTAAGTGAATAAAAAATTATTACGACTTCAAAGTTTTGTGAAACCAATAATAATTTTTTTAAATGGCGATCTCAACCTAACTTGACTGTGGATTTTTCACGTGTAGAAAATTTAAATTGACTAATTTAAATGCAGCAGTAAACGCTAACCTGTGCGAGTTGATTTAAGGAACATTTAATAGACTCGATGTATTTTGCGTGAACTTTTCATGAAGGGGAAAATGTTGTACTTTCTTTATTCTTAATTTTTTCATTTTGAGTCTAGCAAATAATCTCAAAATTATCTTTAAAGTTTAAACTCTAGTTGGTAAACCAGTTCCTCTATTTCACACGCTTTCTCTGCTTTCACGTAGAAAACTATTCCTTGAAAAAGTAGATTTTAATGCTATGTTATTTCAAGTCAGTGCGGATTTTTCGTGATCGAGTATGCATATGTTTTAAAGAACCTTTATTTTTCCAATTTATCTAACTAAAATAATTTCCATTTTGGCTAAACAGGAACAGTACACATGACTTTTAGGAAGCGTATTAAATTGAGTGAAAAAATTGATAATCATCTCAACATTGTCAACTTCTATATATCTTTTGTTAAGTGCGCCATTATTTCCTCCAAATTTTGCTTCTATTTATTTCTATTTATTTTAATTATTTTTTAGGAATCATTTATTGAGCAGTTTTCTTATCCTTTAAAAATTAGTGTCATTTAAATTTTAAGTTCTTGTTCAAATGTGGAATTAAAGGAGAAGAGAGGTATTTCGTGCTGTTATTGAGATAGTGAACGTGTATCCAACTTTCAATGTTTCAGTATTTATTTCCTTTAAAATATATTACACCAATCATTGATCTTCGTGAAGTATGTTTATTTAAAGAAATACGTGTTTGAAGTTTCGAAATTACATGGATCCTTATCGCAGAAAGAAAGTTCAAACTGACTTTTTGATGCTTGGAAATTGGAATTTTGGAGCAAATTTTTCACAAAACGTACATTAAGACTAGATTTACTTAAAATCATTAATATCTCGATCAAAGGCGTGGCGTGAATTGCGATATATCGATTGTTTTGCCATTTAAACCGATGGAAAAGGATCGGTAAACAGGGTGTTCGCATGCGAACACCTTAATAATCGATTCTCTGGCATAGGTTTAAATGGCATGACAATCGATACATCGCAATTCACGCCACGCCACTGATCTCGATTTTTCCAAAAACTGCACCTATGCGCCTTGTCCTCCAAGCACCTCAATTCTCCTTGGAGAAGAGGGGAGAGAGAGAGCGAAGGCCTGATATATGGGGAGGAAGGGGGCCGAAAAAGCGGCAAAAATGCTTGACACAATTTTAGGACGGTACATAGGTTGATCTTCAAATTCCCTTATAATCTTCCTGAGGATCGCAAAGTTACGATCGGACATCAATGATGAATGTTGTTGAACTCCTATATCTCGAGAATGTGACGCTCCTGCAGGGTAATAAGTTCCAAAAAAAACTCATTTGCGCAACATGGGATGCAAATAAAAAAAACTAACAGACAAACAAACAAAAAAAAACTCATCAGACAGAAAGCCGAGCTGAGTGTTCCGAATCACGCCACCGCCCAACGTGAATTGGACGTATTTCTATCAAACGGAACTATGTGCATCAAGGCATGAGCCCTGAGACTCTTGAGAATATATGCGTAGCAGGGCTCATGTCATAATGCACATAGTTCCGTTTGACAGAAATGCGTCCAAGTTTGTCTCGAATCGTGGCACCGAGCGCTGTTCAGCGGAAACACACTTAAAAATTTGACAGGAGCGCTCGAATCCGTTGGGGTAACTGACATCTGAGAAAAAAAAATTGCAAACAGAGAACGTCGAGAAAAACGGGAAAATGGGGGTTTTCCCGTAGAACGTCAAGCCAGCGGATCGACCGCAGCTGTCATTAAACACATTTTCAGCAGTGGCGTGGCGTGAATTGCGATATATCGATTGTTATACCATCTGAACTTATAGAAAAGGATCGATAAACAGGGTGTTCGCAGCGACGCCATAATAATCGATTCTTTACCATAAGGTTAAATGGCATAACAATCGATACATCGCAATTCACGCCACGCCTCTCATTTTCAGTATGAAAGAACGAACGAAATAACTGATGACGTCTGTTGTGTATTTTTCACCTGAACAGAGGCGATTTTACGCAATTTGCGAGCACTTCCCGATCAAGTAGGTTTTTTTTTTTTTTTTTTTTTTTTTTTTTTTTTTTTTTTTTTTTTTTTTTNTTTTTTTTTTTTTTTTTTTTTTTTTGTGTCTTTGATTTTCCATGAAATACCTAACGTTCTGAGGCCTTGTTGACACGAGTCAGTGCTGTCATTTCCCGGAATGGAGATGTTGCGTGTGTGAGGGATTTGCGATTTGACCATTGATTCTTATGTAAAAGTTCGCGAGAAACACGATGGTGCCACTGGTCTTCTCTGAAATCATCTCCAAAGCTCAAAAAAAGCCCTCAAAGTGAGGCCAAAATGGAGGGGATATCCCACCCTACCCTGAGAGCCCACCTCTACATCAAGACAAACTCTCCATGCAAAGATAGGGAGCAAATATATTAGCAGTGATGCCGTGTTTTCAGTTTTAGAGTCTCATAAAGTGGCAGCCCTGTCAATGTATTTGCTCCCTATCTTGGCATGGGGAGTTCGTCTTGATGTAGAGGTGGACTCTCAGGAGAGCGTGGGATATCCCCTCTATTTTGGCCTCAACTTGAGAGCTTTTTTTGAGCTTGGGAGGTGATTTCAGAGAAAACCAGTGGCACCATCGTGTTTCTCGTGAACTTTTACATAAGAATCAATGGTCAAATCGCAAATCCCTCACACATGCAACATCTCCATTGATTCCGAATTTCGGAGCTTTTGCAACTTCTCGACGAAACTTTACTCAGAATCTGAGGGTTTCCCGGAGTATTCCGAAATCTCCAGCTACTTTTATAATTTTCTCGAAATTTAGGGGTTTTTCGTCAGTTTGACCGATTATTATTTCACTTTTGATGAATTTTTTATCAAATCCGACGATCTATGGAACTAAATCCAGGAGCATTTCGGAATTCTACCCCGAGATTTTTTAACAAGATCGGAACTTTCGGAATTCGGAATTAATTCCGGGAACCCTCGGATTTTTGGTAAAATGAAATGGCAGTACAGACACAAGTGCAGCCAGGGCAAATCAGTACCTCAAATTGGGTGGTCCGAGCAGGTTATAGCTGAGTTATAACAAGTACCTGGAATAAGTTCGTCCGAAGTTCTACGAACTGGCTCGTGTAGACAAAGCCTAAGGGAAAGGAGCTCTAAATTTGCATTACAGATGCGTCACTTAGGCTGGCAGGGGGCCCTGCAGGACTGCTTTGTGCAACGCTTGACATTGTATTCGCTTCCTTTTTTTAGAGAGGATTTCTTTTTATTTGCTGTTCTTACATTTTAATTGAACGTTATTTTTAATTATCGCTGTTTGCCATCCTCTTTTTTAAATTTCACAAGTAAAAATCGCGCAGAAAATAAAGTGCAGAACAATAGTTTACTGATGAACGTCCAACGGACGTTACCGGGGGAGGGGGGGGGGAAGGATGAAATTTTGTAAAAAAAAATTAAAATTTTGTAATATTTCTCTATGACTTAAAGAATAATAAAAATATTAAAAATATTCGGATTACTTATTTTGTCTTCATGTTCTTTCTTAATTTTGCCTCTATTCATTTCTTCATTCAATTCCACATAACTGAGGTTTATCAGGGATTTTCCTACTTTGGGATTTTTATGGGGGGAATTATTTTTTTTTTTTTTTTTTTTTTTNTTTTTTTTTTTTTTTTTTTTTTTTGAGGGGCGTGCTGCAGGTTATTGCGGTAAGAAGGAAGGGGGTGAAAAAGGCACGAGTTTTAGCTTTACGTATCTACGAACAGCCCCGGAGAGATTTTACCCTCATGTAGCTGTTTTATGAGATGAAGAGGAGGATTTCAGGGGCTAAGATGAGCACATGGGGGGGTTAATGGGTTGGAGAGGAGAGTCCGAGGAAAATCGGAGATGCGAAAGTGGGTTATGCAGAGTGAAGAAGATCGTGAGCACATCAATTCCGATTTTGCGGAAAAATCACCTATATTATACGACACATGATGGAAAAATCTGGGCGAAGGGTCGCGATCTGTCAACTCTGCGTGAGAAAGCTACAACGGCGTTGACTGTTTGAGCTGTGATTGACACAGTTCGAACTTGGCAACCGGTCAGACATCTTCGGGGACCCTTGCAATCCCCCCCCCCCTCTTCCACATGGTCCAGGGCCCCCTCTGTGTCCGGAGGCGTGGTCAGCTGCATTTAGCCACCAAGTTTCCTGGAATCAAAGTTTTTAGCCGGATAGATGATACTGATTACTCACGGAAAAAATTAAATTGCTGATTTAACAATTTTGTAGTTAAAAACACGGAGAAAAAAACTTCGTGCGTGGGACCCGAAGTTTAGGTCATATGGATCTCTGAAGTTTTCGGATTGAGCATCTGAACACTTTAGGTCTAGCTGTCGAGGTTCGGATCACACATCTGAAACTTCAGTTCTTATGTCTGAAGTACTTCAGGTGTGAGAACCGAAGTATTTCGGATGTGAGAACCGAAGTTTTTCGGATGTAAAAACCGAAGTACTTCAGATGTAAGAACTGAAGTTTCAGATGTGTGATCCGAACCTCGACAGCTAGACCTAAAGTGTTCAGATGCTCAATCTGAAAACTTCAGAGATCCATATGACCTAAACTTCAGGTCCCAAGCACGAAGTTTTTTTTTCCGTGAAGAAAGTGACTGTAATGTTTCAATGTAGATTTTGCAACACAAAAATAATACTTTGACAACAAAAAAAATGCTGCTTTATCCCCCCCCCCNCCCCCGCGGTTAAATTCGCTTTTCACTGTTGTAAAATGTACATTTGAAACATCGCAGTCACTTTTTTTAACAATTAAATTGTTAAATCAGCGATTCATTTTTTCCCCGTGCTGATGTACGGATATGATGATACTAAGTTTTATAATTTTGGCACGTTAATATCTGAATGGAAATATAATTGGGCGTATTCCTGCTAAACAGAACTATGTACGGGTGGTAAAGAAGGGGTGTGCTCGTTAGTAGATGGCCGTAAGAATGAATGGGAATTATGAAGCGCCAGTGACGTCAGCGGCTACGACACTGCTGAATCATTTACCGGGGATTCATTAACTCATGAGCCCTGTCTACAACGCTCTTGTGCTATGCCTACGGCTCATGAGTTCTGCATACAGTTGACGCTAAGTTCTATTTGGTAGAATGTAAAATCCCGCTTTTCTATTTCCACCAAAGAAATCACGGCCACTTTTACATGGTATCTTAAGCAGCTCAAATGAGCACACCCCATTTTCCCCATCCGAACATAGTTCCGTTTAGCAGAAATACGTCCAATTCTGCTTGTGCCCGGTCTACGTCACGGGCGTCACGATAAATTGAGCATCAAGTTAGGAATGAGTCAACCTGGTACCTGCGTTGGAGCTAATTTAATCGTAATCATGGAGTACTTAAATACCGAGACTTCCAATCAATACATATAACGATGGCCAAAGTGCGAAACCGGTGGCGTGGCGTGCTTTGTGATATATCGATTGTTATGCCATTTAAACCTATGGAAAAGGATCGATAAACAGGGTGTTCGCAGCGAACACCTTAATAATCGATTCTTTACCGTAGGTTCAAATGGCAAATCAATCGATACATCGCAATTCACGCCACGCCACTGTGCGAAACCACGTATCCCCATTGTGGTGCTTTAAAACTACCGCACTGAAAAAAAAAATCTCGGTGTATTTACTAAG